TAGCTGAACTAAGCATTGGTTCGAACCACCCTTCGGCTCACTATTTAGATCCTAAGGCAACCGATACGGCCGACTTGTTTTTGTTTCTGGATGAACTGTTTGACAGCTTAAATACAAGCCAGATTGCAGTTCATCCAGTCAAGGAAGCCAATGCGGAGTGTGGTGACACAAAATTCTAAACATGTTTCATTTTGGATTTCCGATGCTTTTCCTTTATTAAAATCAATTTCCTTTTCCAACTTCACTATCACTCCACCTATCAGAAACCTTATTTTCACCTTGTGTGGCTTTCTATAAATCTGGAATCATCTAAGGGCCAAAAACTTTCATTAAATGGCCCCTAGATCATTTAACCAAGATCCAGTTGAAAACTTCTTCAGCTGTATAAGAAGCCCATGGCGTCTTGGGACAAATTGTGAGCCAGACGAATCAATCGGTATTTTAGAAAATTTAACATCTTTTGTTGAGACTCGTAGTAGCGTGCAACTTTCTGCTGAACATTTTCGCGTTCCAATTGCCCCAATCCATGCCAATTTATTCAACACCTGAAACACTTGATTGTAACAATCCCCCAGATTTCGCCACTACGAATGTTGCTGGGGTAGCGGCAAAAGCAAAAAAGATGTTGGCTCAAGTTGAATGCCCAAACTGTCGTGGAATATTGGAGTCTTCGGACGATCGTCGCCATAATATTATCATAAAACATCGGGAGTATGTTATGGGGGCTAGACATTTGTCCCGTCCGTTCACTCAATTTTTTAAAGCCTTTAGACATATGGCTAATGTTATTTTCTTTCTGCTACCTAAATTCGTAACATCTTATGGCATCAGGAAGAAAATTATTGACCATTTGCGCACAGAAGAGGATATTGGGCATGTATTCTGTGCTGAACATCAAGAGAATACGTACCTAATGCACAAAGTGTGCACAAATATCATTCTATTTGGCTATATATCTAAAGCGTACTATGCACGTTCAAGCAAATCGTACAACTTGGCTTGCACAAGCCCAGTCGAACGACTTGCTTGGCGTGTCGTGTATAGCGGTAGTCGAAGCTTGAGTTAACTCGAAAGTTGGGCGAAAATCGGTCAGAACCGATTGCGTACAGTCTGCATACAGTTTTCTTAATTGGAAGTCTGAACGTGTCGATTACGTATACAAGTCGTTCAATTTTAAGGTAAACAAAAGACATTTTTGTGTGAATGAATGACTTACGTAGCTTACCTCCTGATTTTTTACGAGAGTTTATTGAAGTTTATTAGGAAAACACGTGCCCATGGAAAGTGAAAAGCAAGGATTATAGTAATAGACAAATGAAAACAACTGCATACGAAATCATAAGGCAAAAATTAAGTAAAGTTGAGGCAATTGCAAGTAAGGAAAATGTAGTGAATAAAATTAATTATTTAAGAACGTGTTTTCGGAAAGAATACAGAAAGGTAATTTTATCTGAAAGATCGGAAGCTGGCTTTGATGACACATACACACCTACGCTTTGGTGTTATGAACTTCTTTATCTTTATGAAATCTATACTAATCTAACACTGCTAAACAAACTAAATAACCTAAAAACAGATACATTTACAATATGATGACATTAATTCTAAAAATCACTTAAAAACTGTCATTTAAAACTTCTCAAGTATTTTTTAATATCCCTTACACAGCAGTTAAAAAAATCCAAATTACAACAATCTTTCAATAATTTATTACACTGATTCTGCATGTGGTTTATAGGTGATATACTAAAAAGACTGCAAGAGAAAAGGTCATAAGTGTTTGCTCTCAAATTAATCTTTGGCACATAAAATCTTACAAAGTTAATCAAATTACACGATGTATATCTAACACCACTGACAACATTATACAGTTATAAGACACAATGCCTCTTTCTTATTCTTCTACCACAATACCTCTTCTTTGTTCCAACGACTGCATATTAAAGATCATAAGCAAGTGTGTTGTTGGCATAAGGTAAGGATATACATTGTATCTTTTAAGATACAAGTGTCTAAGAAACCTTTTCTGTCCTTTTTCAATTAAATTAATGCTTGATTCAGCTTGAGGAGCCCATATGACTGATGCATACTCGAGGTGTGGTCTCACCAATGCATTATACAAACGAATTATAGCATCTATATGAAAATGCTTATAATTCCTAATCACAAACCCCAGAATCTCGTATGACTTGTTTGTTATGTTTGTATAATGTTCACCAAATCTCAAACTCGCCTGCAGATTCACTCCCAGATCTCTACATGTTGTCTTTCTGACTAGAGCGCGCTTGTTTACATTGTACTGACCATCAATAAAACTTAGTTTACGTGTAAAGGACAAGACTCTACATTTTTCTTCATTCAGAAACATACCATTGTCCTTAAACCAATTGGCGACCGCATTAAGATCTTCCTGCAGTTCTAGGCAATCCTTTAAAGTCGTCTGCAAAACCCAGACCAGAAGAGTATCTCAAACAATCCGGTAGAGAATTAATGAAAATAAGAAAAAGCAATGGCCCCAAGTTGCTTCTTTGAGGAACACCCGAGGTGGATTAAAACTTTTTAGAAAGGCATCTACCAACCTTGACTTGCTGAAACCTTAAGTGAAAGTACGATCTTACAAATGCAAGGGCTTTATCTGAAAAGCCAATCTCATTTAGTATCCGTAAGAGAATTCTATGGTCAACCATGTCAAAGGCGTTTGAGCAATCAGTCATTATCACGTCCAACTGCAATTTATTGTTAATCGCCTCACCAGCAAAGTTAGTCAAGTCAAACAAATTGCTCACTGTGGATACTCCCGGTAGGAAACCATGTCGTTCCAGTGCAAATAGGTTTCCAAAACTTTCCATAATGTCATTGTACAGAATGGTTTCAAAGATCATTGCGAGAGAGTTCAGAACACTCACCGGTCGATAATTCTGCATTTCCCCAACGTTACCCGTCTTAAATATAGGAGTAATAATAGATTCCTTAAGTCTGTCTTGAAAAGTATTTGTTTTGAGCACCCTTTCAGGATATAGCCGGAAACACTATCAGTGCCAGTTGCTTTTTTCGGTTTTAATTTATACATACTTTGTTTTACATGTTCTTCAGTTATAAGGGAAAAGTTAAAACATCCCGATAAATGACTCTGATAAATGGAAAAAGCCTGGTAAACTGTGCTAAAGTCCTGGGCAAAACCGGAGGCAATGTCCTGGCAGCCATTAAATTTGGATTCATTCAAAAACATTTCCTCGGGAAAACCACCACTCCTGCTCCTGTCCCTTATAAATGACCAGAAACTAGTAGGAGCCCGCAAAACATTATCCTCAAATTTAATCTGGTAAGCCATAAATTCAGCTCTGGTCTGTTTTTTAATAGAGGTTCTAAGAGTTTTAAATTCATGTTTACAAGCAGTACTCGCAGTACCAAACTTAATCCGTCTATGCAACCTGTTTTTCGGCCGGGTTTTCCTGACAAGATATATACTAAAGTAAGCAGGATATTTCCTCTATTATTATTTCTTTTAATTTTTTTTTGGTATAGCCTTGTCAATACAAGTGTGTAATTTATTATAGAATTCATTCACACATTCGTCCACTACCTCACAATCATACATACTAGACCAATCAGTGTCCCTTACTAGTTGGTATAAAAGACAAAAATTACCCCTAGCATAATCATAGGTAAATGTTTGTTTTATATTATTTGTGTTGCATGAGTCCACTATCAAAGGAGACTCGCCTTAAACTAAGTTTGCTATTGCCATATTAGAAAGTTTGAGATCTAGAATCCTTCCCTTAAAATTCAAAACCGTATTGCACTGATTTAAATTATTTAGATTCATAAACTGAATAAGCAAATCACTTTTATAACAGCCACAGTCAATGAAACGACGAACATTAAAGTCACCTACCATAATAAAATTCACATGGGCCGACAACACCCCATCAAAATTATCAAGAACTTGCTCGTAATTTGACAAAATGGTCGTAATTTTTCTATTTGAATGCTAAGTATTCCAATAGGCTACCAATCAAATATGGGGAATTTTCAAATTAATGCTTAATAACAAAGTTGAAATTCGATCTTCAACTGTTAATATCTTCTTGAAATAAAAAAATCAATATTTTTCTCGTACTCTCTAAGGGGGCCCCTATATACCCTTAAAAGGAATGACGCCAATTTTGAATCACCTACAGGGTGAAGAAGAACAAGAGTCCAATCATTTAATCCAGTTATATTTTCTCAAGATACTATTTAAAATAATTTTTGTTCCTATAAATTGATATTGAAACATATTTATATCGTCTTCGTTATTTTTAAAAAATTTGCATATTCTATACGGAGGGTCCTGAAATTGAGCGACTAAACTCTAAAATTCGTTTTGGAAATAATAAAAATTTTGAAAATAGATATTAGTATGGAGAACTGCTGTCTAGCGGAGCTAATTTTCCTTAAAAATATTTTTTAATTTTCCTTAAAAACATGTTCACGACAAAGTTTTTTGAAATGCAATCCAAGCTCATAGGTCTTTTTTAAAGATAGCGTAGTTCTGTTACGTGTCTATTAGATAGCTAATATTATTTTCTATAGCAGAGATCACTGTTTCACTAGAACCACATAATTTTGGTACACCCCGATTTATTTTTGAGTAATTTTTGGTTTAGTTTCAGAGTCTAACGACCACCATTTTACAAGTTTAGATAACTCAAAAGTAACAAAATCCACAGTAATTTTCCATCACCTGCAATCAAAAGAAACCATCACATGCCAAGTTCAAAGAACTTTATCGGCCAGGATAAAAAATTAGGGGACAAATTGATGAATGAAACTAATAGCACATAAAGCGAGTTGTTCAATGCTGAAAAGTTCTTCGCTCCGCTGAGACCCACATTGAGATATGTTCGGCAGTAAATTGCCATTTCATTAAGCCATCTAAAACCCAACGGAACACCAGTTCGTAATAAAAAAAGTTAGGCACAAAGAATATTGTTGCGGCTTGATTTTTAGGGCACAGCGGCAACGCAGCTTCCAGCGTTTTCGGGACGCCTAGTTCGATACTTCGAGAACGAACGGCAATAGTCGATTGGGCTATGGAAATCCCGAAAACTGGAGAATCTTCGCAGGTCGTCGAGAGCCCTTGCGCGCTAATATAAATACGGCAAGGCGACCGGAGTGAGTCAGTTAATCAGACTATATGTAGACGTATACAGTGAAATATTTAAAGCGATATACAGAGTGTGTTCGATTCGCGAGCTATAGTTTTGAGTTAGTGATTGTTGTTATAGGTAGTATTTGGAAGTTCAATAAATTGTTGTGCTGTTTTGTTGGTTTACTGGAATCATTCGAACCCCGGGAAACGTAACAATTGGTGTCAGTGAGAGATTGGTGAGATTCCAGTGAGAGATTTGAAGAATTTCGTGTTGAACTATAAGCTAGTGTTTGTTTACCGGACATTGCGAACTTTATGCCAGCGACTAGAAGCCAGCATAAAGTTATGGAGGATCAACTTGCTGCACTGATTGCCCTGATACAGTGACAGAAGGAAGAACAGCAACGGCTTCGACTCAAAGATAAGAAAGAACAGGAACGACTTCGATTCGAAGAGAAAGAGGAGCATAAGCTATCAGAGATGAGCAACTAGAGGCTAGATTAAACCAGAAAATGGAGACTTCGTTGCAGGCTGTTAACCAGAAAGGTATTCGAGCTGGAAAGAAAACTCTTAGAGCGTCACATCGAAGAGGACAACAGTTTCGTGGAGAGTTTTAGCACACCCACCGCTAAGATTTCACCACCCAATTACGATGGAACTACGGCCAGGGAAATTTATAAAACACAGTTTGAGGCTGCTGCAAATGCAAATCACTGGACAGAGCAGCAGAAAGCAACGTCATTAGTAATGGCTCTACGAGGTAAAGCGGCCGAATTACTTCAATCTTTGACCACTATGGATCAAGGGAACTATGCGGTTTTGGTGCATGCTCTTCAGCTGAGATTTGGCAACGAACGCAAAGAGACCGTGTTCCAAACCCAGTTGAGAATGAGGCAGCAGAAATCAGGAGAATCTCTACAGGAATTAGAGGGCGATATTGAGAGACTCACTCATCTGGCTTAACCTTCAGCACCGGAAAGTTTCCGAAAGCAATTGGCGGCGATTTATCGTAGGAGTTCGGGGAGACGATATGAGATACCATCTACGTCTAGTGACACCTCGAGACATCAGTGAGGCTCTAATTCGAGCTTTAGAGTTTGAAGCGTCTCGAGTATCGGTCCCTTCAGCACCAAGAGTTACCAAGGCTTCGATCGACAACACACGGGATATACTAGCCGACAAACTGGACAACATATACGACGCTTTACAGAAGATGATGGCCAGTTGTAATAGTACTCGCCCGCCAACTCAGGAAGCCCCACAAAGAAGGAGCATAACGTGCTTCTATTGCGGTAAATTGGGACATATCAGGAGTGATTGCCGCAATAGAGCACGAAGCCCAGTGGTGACACTAACATCAGAAGGCCGCAGGAAAACTAGTTTCGGTCAATGTCCGGGGGCAATTGACCGCGCCTATGAAGACCCCCAGGATCATCAAAATTGAACACCACTCACGAAGACTGCACGGAAATGCCGACGCACTATCCAGAAGACCGTGCAAAGAGGACTGTAGGCATTGTCAAAGACTAGAACAACTCCATTACATCCACAATCCGACGGCATGGTGGAACGATTTAATCGGACTATGGAGCAGTATCTTTCCAAGATGGTGGCGGAAC